TATGTAAGCATGCATGTCTGTATGTATGCATTTAAATATATATATATATATAGAGAGAGAGAGAGAGAGAGAGAGACATACTCATACACTGATCGAACGGGAAAGAGCATCGCCTGGCAGATCGTCGGGCTCCAAGAAGCCCTGGCCCAGAGCATGAGCCGAGGAGGCCTCGCGGAGCGCCAGAAGCGAAGAGGGGGTTCAGGGTTTGGGGTTTAGGGTTTAGAGTTTTAGGATTTCGGGGTTTTACAGAGAACTATGCTCACAGCCGAGGTCGGTATGGGATCAACTGAAGCTGAATCCATTAGATGCAACAGTGTCGTTACAATGGTTTCGGGTTTACGGTTTTGGGCTCTCGCGACTCGGACGATGCAGGTCAGGGTTTAGGGTTTCCTGGATTCAAGCAGAGTTTTTGGGTTTGGATTCTTTTGCGTTTTTTCGGATATTTCAGAGTTTGCAGCAAGTTCTTGAAAATTGGGCTTTGGGGTCTGTGTATGGGGGAGGCTTCAAGGCTTGCTAGTATGTAGTGTTCTCAGAAGATTCGGGATACCTTATTTGATGGGTTTGTAAGAGGTTTTACGGGTTCTAAGGGCTTGCAAGGCTTTCTTGCACAAGGGCCTGTGGTTCCTTTTTCCGGTTCGACAAGGGTTCGCTAAAGGTTCCACAGGGGCGTATTTTTCTGCTGGTGCGACCTTCTTCTCCGCCGAAAGGAGGGCCGTGGGGGTCAAACGGTTTCTAAACTCAGTGGACCACCTACCGCGTATGGGCCTGGGTGGATGGTGCGTGAATTGGCTGGACTATTTGAAACGCGTTTTCTTGCCGGTGAGCGAAGAGGCAGTAGATCGTGCTCGAGCCTTTTGGATGTTTGGCCTTTGCCCATATCTCTCACCCTGGAACATATGCCCCAACTACAGAGCGAATGAAATACTGCAGCATCGTGTAATTCCTGGTCGTATCCATAGTCCTTCCGGGAGACCTGCACTGCTGCTAATGCGAACAAATCTGCTGCTAGTTTTCCAGTTGGTTCTTCACAGAAAATGTTGTCGCTAATCCTAACGGCGGCAGCTTCCATCATATCGGTGAATCCGCTGACCACAGCACCTGAACCACAATATCATAACATCAAACTTCGAGGAATCTCCGAAAAGGCCTCATGCACCTTGAAGCCCACCCAGACGACGAGGGCGAGCACGCCTCCAAGGCAGACCGCACCACTTGCTGCAACACTTGCGGTACGGCCGACTCCTGCAGTTGGTAGTTCATTGACATTGCCTCTGCACTCGGCGGGCCCCTCCAGCCACCCTTGTGGCAAAAAAGGCGTGCAAAAGCCATCCCTGACATGTTATATTATAGTATGCAAAAGACTCAGCACAACATATAATATAGGATATAACCGTCTATTATCGTAAATTACCATGCCTCAACACAAGGCTTGCACGGCCGTCAAGAAACAGAAGCATCGGCTCGCCAAATCAACGGCCCCAGGAAGTCTTCTACGCGTGCCCGGCTCTGGAAAGACTCCAAACCTCACTAGCCAAGCGCTTTCCGACGAGGCTACGAGGGCCCAAGGCTCGCAAACCCTAAACCCTAAACCGCCAGACCCCTAAACCCAAAACAGGAACCTAAACCCTAAACCGCTACTTGTAGACCCCTAAACCCAAAACAGGAACCTAAACCCCTGAGCCCCGAAGCTGAGCATGCCTCGGCACGAGCTGCCGGTCATGAAGTCCCGGAGGCCAGTCGCGCGAGCGCCCAGAGACTCCAAAACCCCCTTTTCTTTAGGGATTAGGGTTTAGGGTTTCGGATTTAGGGTTTAGGGTTTAGGGAAACCCCTTAATTAAGGATTGTACTTTATATGACAAGGATTAAACTTAGGTTGCAAGGGGTACACGAATGCCTGTACTATCAGGGTTATCCTGATTCTGCCTTATTTTACAGAGGGGTCCTTACTATGGTTTTATATATTCCCCAATCACTGGGGTTTGGAGTCGCTGGGCCATGCTCTTTCACGAAGACAGTCAGACAACTAAGCTGAGCCGACATACGGCTGATGATTCAAATCCTGCATTCCCCACAACTAGGGTTTAGGGTTTAGGGCTATGTACCATAACTCCCATAGTTTAGGGTCCTTAGGGCAATGCAGGATTTAAATCATCAACAGTAGCGTGTGGGGACGGGCGCAAGTTGACAGAAGCGTCTCATCCCCAGGCCTCTTGTTAGAGGATGAGATTTTGATGAGAAGATGCGGTTTTTTTTTACGATTCTATGCCACACAAACTGCTTAGAGACTCTCGCCAGATGCCCTGTCAGAAATGCCGCGACACAGGTCTATATCTCGAAAGTCCCATACAAGAAACCACAACCCACAGGAAGAGCTCAGAAAGTCCCTGGAGCTTCTTGGTGAGCACCGGAGAGTCTCGCGCCCGGCCGTGAGCTCTGAGGCACCGCGCTTGCCGCTCTGGGCCAGCCCGAGCCTCTTGGCGCTGCGGGTCCTGGCACGTATTTTTTGCAGGGCTTTACGGCTAGAATTCACATAAAAAGCCTGCTTAACACCGTTTTTTGCAGCGGGGTTTGCTGTCGAGCAGCAAGCGTCTCAGACCCCCTGAACCCTTGACCGTGCCCTACACTCCATGGAGGAAAGGCCTGGCCAGTTTCGACTGCTCCGACCGCTGGCACGCCTGGAAGGGTACAGCAGGGCAATCCCGAGCACTACGGGATCCGGAATCTTGAGCAGCCCTACCTTAAGAACCCCAAACCTACTTTTTTGTAGGGTCCCTATAAATCCCATATTAAGGTTTATAATAAGAACCTACAAAAAAGTGGGTTTGGGGTTCTTAAGGTACACCCCAAACCCTCAACTCTGGAGCCCCAAGACTAAGAAGCCCTAAAGCCCTACACCCTGAGCTAACTTGCCTAAACCCTGTCCCGCTACAGCCATGAACTCCCACATCCTGCACCCCTAAACCCCGAGCTGCAGGAGATTTGCCGGCGGCGGGAAGGGGCTACCCAACCCTGCAACGCAAACCTGATCCTGAATGTATGAGGGTAGTTCTCTACATTAGGGTCCTTTTTGGGGTCCTTTCTAGAAGTGTGCCGTACCATTTCGGAAACTTAAAGAGGGATCCTAATTTAGAGAACTACCCATGAACTCGTTGCAGCATAGCAGTACCACAAAAGGGGTCGTGTCGGAACCCGACCGGGCAGCCGAAGGAGCTGAAATCGAAAATACAAGGAACGGCAAAAAAGGCTTTAGGGTTTAGGGTTTAGGGTTTAGGGTTCAGCAGCTCCGGATCGAGCAGTTTTAAAGTAGAGTTGTATTCACGGTTTCGGTATAACACCCACCCACCCTCAGAATCCCATAACATTAAGAAA